TCGGATTTAATTCAGGCCTAGGAAAAGCATTAAAGGGGAGCAGTGGTGGAGAGAAAAAGTCACTATTGTGTGATGAGGGGTCTCAAGTAGACACTGAATCATTTAAAGGGTCATAAGCCAAAGGGGTTGGGATGCATTGGTCAAGTTAAAAATTCTGTACACTTATGACCCATTACTGTCATCTAGTGGTGATCAAGGTACGACATTCAATGTGTAATTTCAGTCCTTTTCACTTCACTCTCTTTTTTTTGTCAGTGATCTGAGCTGGAATATGATCGAGTGGATTCACCCAGATGCCTTTGTCTCACTTCACTCTTTGATTAAACTGTAAGTAACAACAGATACAGAGCAGTCACTAAGTCTATTCTGGCTTTCATCTGGTCCTTTAGCAGTGCCGCTCTTATCCCCTAGCAGGCATACCGAATTTGTGTATCTTTGATTAAAGTTAAGCTGTATGTCAGAGCCTTGACCTTACACAAACAATCCATACTTAACAGTGTGTGTCACAGAAATCCTGTTGTCTTAGGCTGAGTCCACAGAGAATACTGATATGTATTTATTGTTTGAAAAACCCCACTTGTGTGGCAAGGAGACTCATCTCATCTCATGCCAATACAAACTGCTTTCCTGTGTGAAGACTGGTTGAAGTACCGTATGCCTAGCTAAACAAGTAGATACACTACATCTGACAGGAAGTGTTATCTGAAGGGAATCTGATAGAGAGCCTTGTCTGAACAGTTTAAAATAACTAAGAGACAAGGCCTTTTTGTTACCAAGGATGACCCATGGCTATATCTGAAATGAAAACACATTCGTAAACACTGGCTTGGTCTGATCTGACAACCACCCTCTTCTGTTTCTCTCAATTTCTTTCTACATTTATCTCAGGGACCTGACTGAGAACCGTCTCAGCTCAGTCCCTGTTGCAGGTTTGGGGAGTCTCACCCACCTCAAGCTGAGGGGCAACACAGATTTATATGAGGCCTTCAGTCCTGATCACTTCCCCCGTATGAGGTAACACAAACACACACCATCATGTATCCCTTATTCTTTCTTACTAAGTGTATTCCCCAATATGACCTTTGCATTTTGGTTTCTCACTCACCAGAAACTGATTTAAGATGATAACTAACCCAGGTGTGTGTCCTGTGGCTGTAAGGAACAATGCATCCCTTCCCATCCCTTTAATTATCCTTCCTCTCACAACTTTCTATTAATAACTTCAATTTACCAAAAGCAGCCAAGGTTGACAATGGACTAATTACAGTGCATCCCTGCAAACCATTCCTGAACTGAACTCTAACAATGAGGAAGCATTCGTCGGCAGCAAGTTAATTCTTGTTACAAAGATCCCTGAAGGCCTGGAAAGGTGCAGTGAAATAAAATTGGAGAGTGAGTTTCAAAGACATAGGCGATGGCAGGTGATCAAGTGGCAATGTCAGCATTACTGTAGAACATTGTCCAAAACAGAACTCCTGGCAGAGAGCCATTTTAAAAAAAACTGTACTGTTGATCCAGATGTCGGACAACCAAATGTTTCTCCTAGGTTTTCCCTACGGATGATGGGTAATTCTGGTTGATTTTGCAAACTCTTGCTGTAATCATTACTTCTGTTTGCAGGGGCCATTTGTAAGATATCCATTCCTAATGTGCTTCCAATGTAAGTGATGGGGAGACCAAATTAGTGCTCGTTCTTTGCAGTTTATCTGAAGCTAATATGATGTTTCAGCAATCTTATGTAATCAAATCAAGAGGGTAGCTTTCAATGTTACAGTCTTTTTAGTACAAAATTCCCTCTTTTTACACAGAACGATGCCTGTGGGTTTTGTCTGCCATCACCTACATTGCATTAAAAAGGACTCTTTAAAGGGCCAGGATGAGCAACAGAAATGATTACAAGAAGTAAAGCTGTTTCGGTGTTTCTATTGGCACCTGGCTGTTGTTTTAAGACTTAGGATAGGTTTCCAGACTTGGAAAATTGTGAACCTATCCTTTAAATGTTACAGAAACAGATTCAAAGAACTTGACTTTTCTTTGGAACAGTCCAACACTGTACATAAAAGATTTTCTTACACTTTCTTTGTGCATCTGTTTTACACCATCTGTTGTGGCATTGTACTCTCTGGTCTATTGTCAATACTGCTTCCATCTGTTTGTTACAGGGTGATAGAGATGCCTTATGCCTACCAGTGCTGTGTATATGGTTCCTGTGATAGCTACAAGCCTGCCAGTCAGTGGGACACAGAGCAAAGCAACACCGATGAGGACCTACACAAGAGGACTGTGGCTATGTACCCTATCCATGCTGACACACACTGTAAGAAAGCACACACAGTATCTGCGCAAGCATATATATATATATACAGTATATAACACACATGGCACGCACCTGCAACGACGGGTAAAGGAATAGATGGAAATCTGAGTCCCATATGTCTGTGCTCACTGCCGAATTATTGACACAAGCTGGCTTGAAACATGTCAGAGCCTTGCTGAAACCACAGCTACCTGGCAGCTGACACACTCTTACACTTGAGTGTTGACCCTTCTATGCATTCATGTGGCAGGCATAAAATATAAACACCAATAAACCAAAATTAAGTTGAAATTAAAACCATTAACTCTACATCACTAAAGCTGAAAATAAACAATTGCTCGGTGAACCAAAAGGTAACAATAACAAATGATGATTAAGCCATAGCATACCACTGATTAAAATTTATTCACCTTTAATTGTTAGAAAAACAGTCATGATAATCAAATTTCATGCGAGCGCCAATTATCTTCTCAAAATATTTTTTTCCTGTCAGTGCAAATGAATGTTAGATCACCTCCCTTTATACAACAACCCCCTACAGCCAGTGCCACACACACTCTAGCACACTGTGTATACACATGCAGAATAAGCTGGCTCACACACGCTATAAAACAGACTGACTGACAGACTGATTTTGGACCCCAACAATTCATTATTCCAGATGACCCTGACCTGGAGGAATTCCAACTGGAAATAGAGGAATCCAAACTACAGACCAGTGTCCAATGCACACCCACGCCAGGTAACTTAAATTATCTCTTCGCTGATGTGATGAAGTTATCAACTGGACTGCAGATCCAGCAACTATAAGGAACCATTCACAGTTTGTTTATCTACAGCTGATGATTTGTATGTTTGCAGGTCCTTTCCGTCCCTGCGACTCTCTGTTGGGAAGCTGGCTGGTTCGTGTGGGATTGTGGTCCATCTCCCTGGTGTCTCTGCTGGGGAACTCCCTCCTGCTCCTGTCCCTCTTCGGCTCACCCGGCTACCTGTCGCCGCTCCGCTTCACTGTGGCCTGTATGGGTGCTTCCAATCTGCTGACAGGTGTGTGTACATGCACCCTGACCCTTGTGGATGCTCTCACCCTGGGAGAGTTTGGCCACCATGGCGCCCGCTGGGAGGGCGGTCCCGGTTGTCAGGCAACAGGATGGGTCTGGGTGTTTGCATCTGAGGCGAGTGTGCTGCTTCTGACTCTTGCAGCTGTGCAGTGCGGCGTGAGCGTGACGTGCGCCCGGGCATATGGGAAGTCCCCGTCCCTCGGAAGTGTACGCACATGTGCACTTTTCTGCCTCACTCTTTCCCTCACCCTGGCCTCTCTCCCACTCGCAGGAGTTGGGGAATATGGATCCTCACCTTTCTGCCTTCCCTCACCCCTACCACCCCCATCCTCTCGGCTGCCATCTTCCCTGGGCTTCCCCTTGGCACTCATTATGATGAACACCCTGTGCTTGCTTATAGTCACAGGTTCATACATCCGCCTTTACTGGGAGTTACTTCGGGGGGAGTGTGAGGGCTTGTGGGACTGTGCCATGATCAAACATGTTGCCTGGCTGATATTCACCAATGGCCTCCTCTACGTACCAGTAGCTTTCCTTTCCCTCTGCTCCCTCTTGGGTCTCCTCTCGCTGGGGGAAGAGGTGCTAAAATCAGTCCTCTTGCTTCTCCAGCCCTTGCCTGCCTGCCTCAACCCCCTCCTTTTTCTCCTCTTCACACGTGATCACTCCCAGTTTTTCTTCTGGCCTCGCCCCAAAGCACGTCCACAGCTACGCCGGGACCGCACCCTGGACTCGCTGGTTTCTGTGGAGACAGAGAAGAGCTCCTGCTCCGATTCGTCAACACAGGCATCACTCGCTGATGCTGATGCTCTGTACAGTGGGGGGTCCTCTCTCCAACCCCAACTGGATCCAATCCGATTTTCCCACTGCTCCTCTTCTTCCTCTGTTCCTCTTATCCCTTGCCAGATACCCACTCCTGCTGCCAGAGATAGAGACAGAGCAACAGAACAAGGAAGCCTGAACGATAATGAATGTCTGAGGAGTTTGGATCAAGATGTTATTCATAACACTTGTGCTCTGTATCACTCTACCATGACTCCCTCTCTCACCTCTTATCCATGAGCCTTTCAAGCTAGCTGTCTGAATAACTGGGACACTATGGACAGTCAAGGACCATAATCAAACAGCAGCAGCAAGACCATGGTCTAGGTAATTAATCCTCAAGCACCTCAGAATGAGTCCACACGGAGACTGCAGAGCACTCTAGAGAAATCTATGAGAACACAACTAAGTGCCTCCAAAAATGGAGAGTGCAACTAAAGGTTCCCTTAACAATAAAGACTATTTAAAAGGAGACACCACAATACAGCATGACTGTTAAAGTAAAGGACTATTTCAGACACTACTCAGTGGAATGCGTCAGTCATGGCACAGAGGTAACTCAAAGAAAAGCTGTTAACCACATGAAAAATCAAGGAGCATCAGACAAATCAATGGTTTAGCCAGGGGGGAATTTAGGTAGACCCAGTAGAATTTTAAGTGTAAATGTTTATACTGAAATGTGATCATGAGACATGCAACTTAGGGGTTACAGATTGTTTGGTTATATTTTAAGTGGAGTTATCTTATTTGTCTTTTTTAAAATATAAGTTCTATCCTATTGCTAAGATCTGTTTCAAATAAAGGGATTCATCATCAAAACACACCAGGACATTTTACCAGAGTAAGCTAACATTTTTCTCTCACAGAAATGTTACTGTCAGATATATTTCTCAGCAATTGTGTAACAATGGTTATAAAAATGTTATCCTTTATGTGGCAGCAAAATGCAACAGGAAACGGACTGCACATACAGTTTTATATGGTTTACATGTTTTTATCTCAAATATGCAACTCAGCCCATGAGGAGGCAAGCAGTCATACAGACTGAATGGGATGTAGCTATCTTTCTACAGACATTAGAGTAGGCTAGCAATATGTACATACAATGTAACTACCTCTGAACTAGCATGGTATTGACTCACTACAGCCTTATGATGTTTGTCTCCCTTTTTATATGATAAACAGCAAATATATAATTTTATATGTTAAGAAATAAATCCTTAGTTTGTAAAAAAAAAACTTGTCTTGCTATTTAGGATGTACATACTTTGTATACAACTGGTAAGCATATGTCTGAATAAAATTATTATCTTCATACGTTATATACATGAACCACTCTGCTTATGCAACTATTCTGAAACACACCTCCACACTACACAAGAAGCCACTGTCTTGTGTGTGCTATGCAAGTAGTTTTCAAAATAAACTTTAATATAACAACACAAACTAACATTTACATATAAACCTTTTTAAAATATGTAGATATTTCTGAAGAAGATTAATGCATACATGGGAAATGGAAGTAGGCATTAGCACTAAATTTAAATTTGAATACACTCCTTAGAAGAAGAGAGGAGAAATGGTGGCTCTAACAAGTGAGGTGGAAACTACAAACAGGTTTTCTTTGCTGGCTCCTCTGCCTCCTGTTGTGCACTGAGCGCCTCTCTTTTGCGGGATGAAGCTTTCTGGTCTGGAGTATTTTCTTTGTTGCCCTCCATGACTCCCTGGACAAGGAGAGATACAAACTATTTCAGACAATGGCAGCATTGCCCATCTATGCTTCTCCACATCCCAACACTGACAATCATGTATAATATATTATGAATATAATATGATATGATGAATATAATATGAATCAAACAGGCTGCATCACGTTGTTGCATGCAAGTGAATATTAGTAGACAACATTAAATGAGGGGAGGACAGCTCCACCTTGTGGGAAAAAGCTCCATTACAATAAGCTACACTGCACACAACTAATACAATGGCAGTACATTGCTGTGAAGAAAAGTGTCACTAATCATGCAAGCCACTAAGAGTAATGCAATCCACCTGAATGGTCAATGCACAATGAAATTAAAAAGCTTTAGATTGAAACTGATTTACAACCACATCACCTAAAGACCAGAGTGACTTACCGTGTTTTTCTGAACAGCATGTTCCTGTGTCCACTTCCTGGCCTTCTCCATGAACAGCTGTTTGTTGTATTTAAACTCTGACGACTGCATTCAAAATATGTGAGCGTCTCTTTACATGCATATACGGTGAGGTTACAAAATCATTCACAGTATGATCGAAATGCTTTCTTCTGTAATTTTAATATTGCAAGAGGCTGAAAAGGACTAAAGGTGTTTCAGACCAATATATAAAAGAGTTATTCTAGCATTCAGAAAACCTGTGACTTCCGATAAAAAGGCATACTGACAAGAGTATTCAATTGTTTTCCAGGTACAAATTTTATGCATAGTATTAATAGTTCTCAGCCATTCTAATGTCCCAAAAAAGTATTTGATAAAGTGCTGTTGTCGCATATCGATATTAAGATCACACTACTCACAAAATCAAAATTAACCATCACAGCATCATTGTGAATCCAAGCTATGTTACTCTAAAAGATGACACATATCATACTCTAACAGTGTGATATGTGTGGATATAAGATCACTTGTGACTCACTATATCAGCCATGAGTGGATCATCTGGATTGGGCTCAGCCATGAGCAGATGAATGGAGGAGAGAACTGTGGAGATGTTTAGTGATGGCTTCCAGGCACCCTGAATAAAAATAAAGAGCAGGAAACATTAAATCTAACACATGTAATCTGGTTTATAGCTGCATTTATTTGACAGCAGACAAACAAAACCAGATAATTGAGGTGAAAAATACATAGTTTGTTTTGTGCTTGAAATCTTTAACAACCTTTGGCGGGAGTTTGAGGGCATCGTGGCAGATACGTCCTGAGTTGTCAATGTTTGGATGGTAGATGGGGGTCAAGAATCGTATTTTGGGGGGCTCAAATGGGTACCTTTCAAAGGAAAATGGCAGGTAAATCCAACAGTAGTGCAGTAACTGTTAATTGGTAGAGAAAACTACCTCATCAATGTTACCTCTCAGGGACCTTGATCTCCAAGGAGAAGAGGCCACCTTCATAAGGAGTTCCTGATCCACCCACTATCTCTGCAAATGAGAAGTGAAGAAAATGTATCATTGGGTAGACAAAGCAGATATTTAGCTAGGCACATATGTAGTACGATCATGAGAACAAATTTATAATAATAAATTAAAAAATATTGAATATTGAGTGTGACAGATACTTTATGTTACATTTGCCTGTTTTATTTACATGTTTTTCAGACATTCCTGAGTTGTTCTACCGGTTAATGCAGTAAAATTCATGTTAATAGATTTTCAAATGCTTGAGTGGTCATATTTGTGGTCAGTTGAACTGCACTGCATTATACTGACAGGTGTTTCTGTTATTTAGCCTACCTTCATTGAAATAAATGGGGTGGACACCTATCAGTACAAGGCAATACAATTCAACAGCAACACTGAACATCATCACCTTCATGAATGCAGGTTTTATTTCAAGACTGTTGTATTAGACTGCATTAGTTTTAGCTAAGTGTGGCTAATAAATTGGCACTGCATTATTTATCGTCTGGTCATGTCAGATGGAGTGAATTTACTCACAGACAAAATATAAAATATCATGTCACTGATTGGAAAAGGTAGACTTTAATGACAAAGTGTATCTTTAATTGTTTTACATCCGGTAACAGAGAGTGCATACGTGCTCGGAGGTCATCTATCCGCTCCTCCGTCTGCCAGCATGTTATTCCGGGAGGTGGCTCGGTGCTCAGCATCTGCAGTTCACGCTTCAAACGGGATGCCCTCTGCATTCTGCAAAGCGGAGAATGGAGTGAACTGTCTGGAGTCATGTAAGACAACTATATCTTAAAAACAGGAGATTCTGGCTCCATGCTGGACATGTCATAACATTAATTTAGCTAATAACATCACGCGAGAGGTTCAAACACTTTTTTTTCAGCATCTAGACCACATTGGATTACGGCTAGATCAAAAACCACAAAACTCAAACTTGTCAAATCTGGTCTAGACTATTCAAGAGAGGCTAAAGACTCTGTAAACCACAGTTTCTGACTTATGAAACCTATATCCTATTTGTGAAAATGCAAAAAGGGGACATTTAACGGTTTTTTTTCTGCATCTAGACAGCATTAGACCCAGTCCAGATCAAAAACCACAAATCTCAGATTTGTCTAATCTGGTCTAGATTATTCAAGATAGGCTACGGACCCTTTAAAACACAGTTTCGGATTTGTGAAACCTTTATCCTATTTGTGATTATGCAAAAAAGGGACATTTCACTGCTTTTTTTCTGTATTTAGACCGCATTAGACCAGATCCAGCTAACTTCAGCGTCGTACTCGGTTTATACTGGACCTAGTCGCAACAAATTTAACTGAAACAGGTGAAAAATATTTGTTAACTCGCTTAATGGTAATACGTTTACCAAGTTATCCTTCACCCTGAGTGTTTACATTTACCGGTTAGCCTGTCTATCTTAACGTTAATTTAAGAACTAGCTGCCCCCTTACACACCTACCTAACGTTGGATCTTTGGAAACATGAGTACAACTTTGTAAGTCACCACACCGAAGATAAGACCTTGTTGTCAGGCTATGAAATCACATTCACTTACTTTGTTTACCGTCTTTAAAGCCTGTTGTCCACTTCACAGCTCTTTACGTTAAACCAAATTTCAACGAACGTCGTGACTTCTGTTTTGAGTTTTCCCTCTCGCTGATGGGCTTCTTCTTCTTCTTCTTCTTCTTCTTCTTCTTCTGGTTTACCAGCGGCGATTTGTCGCCCGTTCTCGCCCCCTACCGTTGAATGACGGTGAGACAGTATCCCTCGGCCTGTTTGGAGATGCTTCTAATTCCAGCTCCTTCATAGTAGTCTATGAGTAGGAGTAGTCTATAAAAATGAATTCAGCTCTGTATGTGTCAAAGTCTATCTTAAGGGACTTGATCCATCTGTCTATATCATGGGGATAGTTCAGAGCGGAAACCTGACATTATGTGATGATTTTTTAGGTTTACCTAGTAGATGCACATTTATTTACAGCATATTCATTGCTTGTAATTTGTAACCACGTTTAAAAACCCAATTGCTACCTTTATGTTTTATTTTTTTACTTCCTATACTTCCTTACTATTCTAATATTTATATTTTACTGTGTAAATACATTTTATAGGTATACAATGTGTTACCATGTATATCAAGCATGTTGCCACAAAACTCTCCTTCAACATGAATAAAGTTCTATCTGATCCAATCTTATTCCATAGTGTTTTATTTAAGTAACAGCAGCATTATTTGATTTGATTATTTGATTTTGTTTTACACATACAGTGGGGTCCAAAAGTCTGAAACCACTTTGCCAAAGATTTTGGTGTAGGTTAATGGAAATGCAACAGTGAGGCCAGTGTTCATTGCTTTGAACATTTGGCTTTACATATACTTGCTACATTGTGATTTATAATGATATAATAAAATATTTTTTGATAATAATATAATTCAATCATATCAAAATATAGTGTATCTCAGAGTGTAACATTGTGTAATTCCATCAAGGAAATATTCAACAAAGCAATTAGATGACACAGTTCTGATTATTTGCAGAGCTTTTCCATCTTGAAAAGATACACTATGAAAAACTAGTTCAAACATACAAAGTCTCACAATCACAGAAGTGGGGTAGAGCATACACAATTTCTTATTTTAAGGCAGTGGCGTAGATAGCCTGAAAAGTAATGTGTTTGTGTTGTTTGTCCTCCATTCTGACATCAGTGAAGCCAGATTCCCTCAGAGCTGCCATGTAGGCCTCCGGGCGCCAGTTCTCCCCTGGCAACACTCGCTTTGCTGCAAAAGCAGCTACACTGGACAGCCTCAGCGTGGTCACCATCAGGCCTCCTGAGGGGGTTCAAGAAGGAGAAGGGAGAAAAAAATGACAGTGATTGCTCAGAAAGTCAAAACTAAGAGTAAGAGAGAATCTCCAGACCATCTGACACAGGTTTTAATTTGGATGACGAACATCTCTCACTGTTACAATGTCATATCCTACCTGGTTTCATTACCCGGTGAATCTCTGAAGCTCCTTTCTTGAGGTCAGGCCAGAAGTAGTAGCAGTTACAGTGGAAGACTTTATCCACACTGCTGTCTGCCAGCGGCAATGCTGCGACATCACAGTGGTGTAGTGTCACTTTCCCACATGCCACAAGTTCCTTCAGTCGTTCACTTGCCATCTGTAAGAGAAGAACAAGAGAAATATTATACTATTCCAAAAGTGAGTAATGCTTCCTCTTCAAATAAATGTTGTCAGAGTAGCAGTTATAATTTTCTCTGTTTTTGTCTGCCTGTCTGCCAGTGGGTTCTTCTGCCTCATTCTTAATAAGTGTTCTTTACAGGGAGGCTCACAGTTCACATGTGGTTGGTTTAGACAGACTTGAGCTCTTTACATCTATAAAAATATTATGGTATACTTTATTCCTTTGAGGCAATCTTTTTGTTACATACTTGAGGACATACATGCATTGAATTTACACACTTCATTCCACTCTGTCAGAAGTCATACGTCACCTGATGCATGTACTCTGAGTAATCAACCCCTATAAGGCGGCCTGTGGGCTCTGTTAGCAGTTTGGCTGCTGACTGTAGACCCAAACCTGGGCCGTGACCCAGTTCCAGCACTGTGTCCCCAGGCTGGATCCCACTCAGCCGCACAGTATTCTCCTCGAGGACCTGGTTGTACGTTTTGAGGAACTTACTGACCAGCCATCCTGCTACTGATCGTGTTGGGTGGCCCAGCTGTTCCCCCACTTTTTGAGCCCACATCACTGGAGGAATATGACAGAAAAGACATGTGAGCATTTCTTTTTATTTTACTAAACTATTCCAGAGGTTTACATCCACAAAATGCAATATAAAACATTGTAAGAAGCCTTGTCAGTGACTTCATATTTCACATATCTTGACAATCTTAAACACTGGTCTTCTATTAGTGTGGGGGATCACGCTACTATATACAGTCAATTGTTAACTAAATAATTAGGACATAATAAACTTTGTGTAATACTTATACAACATTTTTCCCCGAAAACAAATATATATATACATTCTGACCCAGATACTTCAACTTCAACCTCACCCCTACATGTGGGGATCAAATAAAGATTTTGATAAATTGTGTTGGTTGAAACCTTTTATATTGGCATTTATGTCATTCTTAGTTGGACTTTGATTCGCCTCCTTCAATGTTGTACATAGTTAATGTTTAATATGCCCTATGACCAAAAAGCAAAAGCTGTCAGAGAAAAGGTAGACTTTTGTCTGACTGTTTGTCGAATTTGGATAGGGTGTTGGATATTGTTATCATCATCGGTGTTGTTGTTGTTATTATTATTATTATGTAATCATTTTTCCAAGATTTTATCATAGGCTAGTCCAAAACAGAGATTGGCCACTGGGTGTTATTGTGGCCCCTGATTCTAACATAGGTATCCCCTTATATTGTAAATACTTCAACATGAAATCACTGTATCGTACTCTAAGGACACTTTGTCCAGGCACGTGCTTGTGGGAAACGGTGTCGTAGTATTTCTGTCCGATAAACAGACTCTGGGTGAAAGTACTTCCCATAGTGGAAAGGCTTTAAGGTCGTCATTTTCCCCCGAACCGAAGTAACCTTATGTCTTTGGTGCTGCTTCCCTGTATTAACATCTTACCTTTTCCCGTGCAGAGGGACGTTCGTCCGCTCAGGTCTAACTGCAGCAGGTTTGTTCGGTCTTCCTGTAAGTCAAATGAGGAGGAGCTCCGAAGTCTATTTCTGTGTCATCAGCGCACGCGCTATTCTGGTCCACTTTTCACACTCCAAGTGTTTTCTTTAATCACCCACTTCCTGAAATTGTCATTTAGGTTTCCCACCACAATAACTGTTCATTCAGATATTTAATGGACGGAAGTGTGAATAAGCACTACAACAGATTTTCCTGAAGACATTACTGACACACCGCTCCTTTAGTACTGTGCCCCCTGTTACAGATCAAGCGCAGTCAAATGCTTTTGGAAATGTCCTCAGCCGTCGCTTCCTCCAATCAGCCTATTTTGCACACACCCCCAGCAAGGATTGTGTTTCTTTCGTTTTCATTTCCCGGAAGGGTCGAATGTAAAATTATACAGTATGGTTGTGTCTTAATTCTTCGAAAGTAATTTGCAATCTTTATTTAAAATGGAATTCGGGGAGGTTTAACCTGAAGTTTATTTCAATTTATTGGACGAGTTTTGTCTCTGTTTACGAGGAAATCATCCCAGTTTTTTTTAATTTTGTTACAGATACAGATAATTTCAATGGAGACCGTTTCCCCGCCACCTTTGGTCAAGGTAATTTCAGGTCGCAGGAGCAACCACTTTAACAATGTGTTGTCTTTAAAAAGCAAAAATGGAGCATAACTGTAGTTTTGTTGTTTTATGAGAATTGTAAGTGTGTGTGAATTGTAAGTAAGTTGCTTTTATTGAAAACTCGCTTGGTAAATCATTTAAAATTCTGCTCTGTACTGCTGTTTTTATGTTGTGCATAATAGGTGAGTGTGTGTGTACTAAAGGGGCATGTGTGTGCATGTTGTGCAGCAAGAAAATAGTCCATCCATAACGCATGGAAGGCAAGTCAACATTGCTCCCAGTGTACATCAATCCACCCGTAACCAGCTCCCTCTGGCCAGTGCTCCCACTCACGAAGACCTGTGGCATCTACCTGGACGGCTGCGTGAGTCAAGCTCTCTTCTCTGTTTGACATATGCTTTGTTCACCTGGGCGATCCTGTTCCACATGACTGCAGCACCCTCTACCAGCACACACTGTGTGTTTTTGAATTATGTGGGTTTATTTTCTAGGAATAAATCCATCTCTGTGGGATAAGGAGGATGTTGCCCACTGGCTCCACTGGGCTCAGAAGGAGTACTCACTGCGCCGGCCAGAGAAGGGGCGCTTCGAGATGAACGGCCGAGCCTTGTGCCTGCTCACCAAAGAAGACTTCAGACGCCGCTGCCCCAGCTCAGGTAGGAATGTGTGTGTATGCAAAAAGAGAGCACGCTGACTGGTTTTGTGCTTGTGTTTTCATGTGCACTCCCTGGTTTTCTGTAGGTGATGTTCTGTATGAGATCCTTCAGTGTGTGAAACAACAAAGGAGGAATGTTGTCTGTGACCCTCCTCAAAATACATCTCCCACCCTGGCAAATGGACAAAGTCAGAGTCCAATCAGCTGCAAGATCACCACTCACAGCACCCCAGAGCCTCAGCCTCCCACAGTCAATGACACCCAAGGTCAGTAAAGTCTAAGAGTAGATTTCTGAACATATTCAGAATCAGTCAGAATCAGAATCAGCTTTACTGACCAAGTATGTTGACACATGGATGAATTTGACTCAGATTCTCAGTAATGCAAGGTTATTTCCTAAAGATCTTAGAGACTCTCAGGGTTTGTATTCTTCAAGCAGAGGAATATGTATTTGATCCAAGGTTGTGCAGGGTTGTGATTTATAAACCAGCAGCAACACTTTGAAATCTACTCTATACATGACGGTGTAAAGATTTAAGAACAGGACGGTCTGGCTGTCTTTTGTTTTTAGAAAACCAGACAAGAGACTGTTACAATAGCTCACTCTGCTGGGGATGAAGGCATGAATGAGTAACTCTCAATATACTTAAACACACAGATATATACATAAAGAAAGATGTAATCAATTCTAAACATATAGCTATTATATAAAGACAAGCTCTGGTCAACAAACTATCTATACTCTGTACAGAGTAGATTTGGCAGATTGTTTTGTACTGTATCTACAGGATAGTTGTACAGACTGTAGTGCTACTGCAGTAGTAATAAGAGCACACACACATAAATATACCTTGTTCACACACAGTAGATTGCTCTCCTTTGTTACATATCAAATCAAACTTGTTTATCATGGTTTGATTGTGGTTGGAAATACTTCCTGATCAGTCACATGTACATGTGCAAACACATACAGGAATTCATGCTCTCTCCTTTGTTTGTTTTGCTCTACTTGAGAGGACATTCATCCACTTCTTATTCGTGAACTCTGAAACCTAACTCTGATCAGTGCATGCCTACCATCAACCCATATGCAAGTCAAACTAAACTAAAATGTACCTGCCACTATCCTTTTTATTATTGATGTGAGGACCAGTGGCTTGCCAGGTGGGTGGTTTAAAGGATCGCGCTGCATCATATCTAATGTGCTATATTTTGTATGTAAAACGTTTACTTGCAACTGCACCTATCAGATACATGCCGAGGAGCAAAAAGTGCAGCATTTCCTTGCAAAGTTGACATGAAATGGAAATATGAAAGTACCACCACCTAAAAACTCTGCATAAGTACAGTACTTTGTTACTTTGCACTGGTGAGGGCATTTCACCCTTCAGTAGAGCAATACTAACACACACACATTCCTTGTTTGCTTCAACCATAACAAAAGCTTTCCATTACAGGAAGCTAGATGTTTAGTGGGTGCGTCGTGGTTACCTGGTAACCAGCGATCTTATAACTCCAGAGTCCAGAAAAATTACTTTGTTCTTCCTCCTGTATTCAAGTAATAAAATGGCCTCATGTTAAATACTGAATTAACTTTCAAGACACCCATTAATGTAGAATCACTTTTGCTTTCAGTTTAGCTTTTACTCACAGTTCCTCATATTTCTCTCTCACAGTTTCCCTCTCTTTCACCAATGCAGTGTCGGCAGCTCTCGTAACCACTGTGAGCAGCCAGCCAGAGCCAGTGTCACCTCTCAGAGATCGTCCCTTGATCTTTTACACTTACCCTGCTCCAATCACACATATTAGTGGGTATTTCAAACTACTATACCACAAATATTGTGGCCGGCAGTTTACTGCGATGTCTTTATTTTCTGTCCCTCTCTTTTTGTTGCTCTCTCTATGTTCCTCTCTCTCCCTGTTAGATGGATCAGCTGCTGTCCCTACAATGCCCCACAGCCAGGTTCAGTGTCGTCCTCAAACGGAGAGAACCCTCCAGGAGCCTCTCAACCTGTCCAGTCGAGAGAAGCCACGGAGCCCACTGCACAAAGCCAACGGCCGCATCCCAGGTACTGTTAGGTTAATTTTTTAAAAGCTGCACTACAGTGTGCCCTCAGAAAATTTCAACGATGTACCCCTTCCCCGTATGTTTGACCTACTTATACGAAATTCATGAGGCACATGTAACATCCCAAGACTTACAAAAAAGCTTCAAACTTTATATGTTTGATAACAGTCCCGGCCTGAAGACATCTACAGGCCACTATTCAGTTATAATCATAGCACCATATATGGTGACAGAAAATGTCATGTCTTACAATTTGATGTACTTCTCATAGTTGGATTGACCACACCCACTTCAAACATGGTTAAAGAGCGCTTACAACCCTGATGATGCTTTGCTGTGGATATTGTGAGTTTTCATTGAATTCTGTGGCGGCACGGCAAAAATCCCCCTGAAACAGGAGGTTCTTGTTGAGGGCTCGAAAACACATGAAACTTGGCACACACGCTAGAAATGGCAAAAAATTGATATCTGACATTGGTATCAGAATTGGGTGAGGCAAAATGACTTGATACACTTGAAAGTCTCACTCGTCAGTATGGTGTCTGATGGTTGCGAAAATGCACGGCTGCCTCCTCCGAGCACCCCCAACATGTGCAACAGTGTGAACTGCATCAAGCAGTTTTTGACCATTGGGAGGTAGAAAAACTCATAGACGTAAGTTTTTGACACACTATTAGCTTTTAGAAATCCAGTCTCAGAGCAGCATATGAATGATTTATCTTGCCAACTGCTTAATAGAGATTGTAGAAATTTATGTCTCTTTAATCCTAAGCCTTATTGTTGTTTTAATCATTGCCAGAGTGCAGACTTCTGTGGGACTATGTGTATCAGCTACTGTGTGACGACCGTTACCAAGAATACATACGATGGGAAGACCAGGACAGCCTGGTGTTCAGGGTGGTCGACCCCAATGGACTGGCACGTCTCTGGGGAAACCACAAGGTGAGCACATACTGTAGGTCTGCGTGGGCCATCTGACAGGGGACATGGCTGTAAATGGCTGATGATGTGTGATCCCTTTTTTTTTTTTTTTTACAGAACCGAGACAATATGACCTATGAAAAAATGTCCCGTGCTTTGCGGCACTACTACAAGCTCAACATCATCAAAAAGGAGCGGGGACAAAAACTCCTCTTCAGGTCTCTGCCCCTTTCTCTTTCTCATTCAATGTCTTGTCTTTTCCCTCACAGCAGCTTGCTAAATATTTGTTATTGCCCCCTCTACGGCTCCCCTCAGGTTTCTGAAGCTCCCACAGGACATCAGGAAACAGCAGGCCGATCCAGCCGAGTCCCCAGAGCGCACTCCGCCTCCGGACGGGGACTTTCCAAACAGCAGTCCTGCACACGAGCTCAGTGAGGACCATTTTGAGGTTTCCCCTGATCGCGCTTCTCCAGAGACCCCTCCAACCGGTGATCCTGCGAGATAGAAAAAACAGCATTAGACTTGCCAAATACAATACAACAAAAATCATTACAAAATACGAAGGAGATTGTGGTGTATTTATCTTCTGCTACAGAATGCACTTGGGTACATTGGGTGTGTTGTCAGGAATTTTTCCACTGTGATTGCTTTTCATTTTGCTGTGAATACAACACTAATATTAAGGGACAAGAAATACTGAAAGAAATTACATTCAACTTGCAGAATAATCATCAGAACTCAAATTTCCCAGGCTTGCTGTACAGATAATGCACCTATTTTCTATATATACTATATGCTGTACATTTTGCAGGTAAGTGATGGAATTGTAAAATTGTTCCAGTAATTCTGTGTGTGTAATTTTTTGAGTGTTCTTATGCAGGATGAGGCAGGAGGGATTATTAATGTTCACACTAAAATATTTGTGTGAATAGTTTGTCTGAGCCAGTTTTTACAAGTTTTTATTTCACAATAGTTTGCGCTTTATCAGTCTGAGGATGCTTGTTGTAAAGTCAAAACCTTGGTATCTACAATGTTTTTCCTGCTTTGTAAAATAAATATTTGCATGTCATAAAAATGTGGACAGTTGTTCTTTTCTTTCTTTCTTTCTTCCTTTCTTTTTTCATTCCTTTCTTTTTTCATTCCTTTCTTTCTTGTACCCGAATTTGATAAATCAATTTATGTACAAAGTATATTTGATCAGGAATTTTGGCACCATATTGGTGCAGCGTTGTCCCGGGCTGGGTCATACTGCACAGACAACCAAAAAGACAGATCAAAAGTAGACGGCCCCTTTACTAACTAGGTTCGTGTTTTTGGCTAAATGTATCACTGGCAACATGTAAAGAAAACACACACACGTTCACAGTACTGTGCACTCTGCACATGTCGAAGCAGGCATCTGTACCAGCAGGGGGCGCTGTGGTAGTATGGTAACCTGCGGCTCAGCAGCTGATACGTATCTGACTCTAAGAGAACAGAAATTGCCCAATCATTTAAATTTATTTTTAGATTTGTTTCATCTTATGAAACCAATGCTAAGTTTGTGTTTTATTAATACCCTCAAGAGTCAGATGGAAATATTGATGTTTGTTTCCTTGATTAGGTAATAGAGAAAAAACAAAACGAAAATTGGATCATAAAAGAATAAAAAAGGTACAGTTAAAGATTACAGAAACTTATATTTTCTGTTGAAACTAGTAACATTCAAAATTCAAAGTTTTATTCGTCACATAGTCATATTTTACAATGTGACTCAATAATGTATAACTATGGTGCTTTAGTTGTCCTTTTCAAAACTGAAAAATTGTTTTTCTTTGAGTCTGTAAAAAAGTACTAAAATAAAGGGATTGTTAAAGTCAGTTTTCGTTGTACATTTGTTAAATTTTTCTTTTCATTTATAACTTCAGCATTTCCAAAAATATGGAGCGTTTCCTTTATTTAGAATCACATGGAAACCAGTCTGAGATAAGCAGAACCAAAGCGTGTCAGTATTTAGAACTAGAAACAGACAAAAAGTCATTGATAGTGTTGTATGTTATATCACATGGCCATGACCAATATGGTATGTCTAATTGAGATTTCTTTAAAAAAAGACCCACTTTTCATTGGAGAACTAATCTCACCCTGCTTTATCCCAGTCTTCCTTCTAAAGACAGTAGGATTTGTGCCACTGCACAAATGCTTGTCGCCATCTACGATTAAAACATTTAAAACTATTTGAAAAGCTTTGTAAAATGGCTCCGGGAGTTTCCAGTTGTCATTACGGTGAAGTTGCTCCGTCTATCTCCTTCTCTGGATGTGGATTCATGGCTACCTACCAGTTAGGGGTCGCCCAGTGCTTCTTGAATTATGCACCCTGGATACTGCGCACAGCACCTTCAGTTCTTGGTGCATCTGCTGGATCTCTGGTAGCAGTTACTGTGGTCTGTGAGATGAACCCAAGTAAGAGACTTTATCATTTGCTCTAAATCTGTTTGTGTAATAATTGTTTCTGACTCAAAGTTCTTTATTTCACAGTTACCATTCGGGATGAAATGCTGAATTTTGCCAAACAGGTGAACGCTTTTACACTTGGGCCGTTGAACCCCTCAGTCAATGTATTCCATTGGTTGGAGTGTGTTTTACGCAAACATCTTCCTTCGGATGCGCACCAGCTGGCTAGTGGTCGTCTTTCTGTGGCAATGACCCGCCTGACCGATGGCAAGAACACGGTGATGTCTGAATTTCAGTCCAAAGAGGATGTCGTACAGGTGAGTTTGCACTACAGGTCCACACCTCACTGATTCGAGAGCAGTTTGGAAAACCCGAAAAATGGACACTTCAAATTGTTGTGTGTTGTCCTTAGGCTCTGCTATGTAGCTGTTTTGTGCCTGGCTACTGCGGTCTGCAGCCTCCGTCCTACAAAGGAGATGTGAGTATTTGATGCCCTTCTCACAGACTCACTCGGAGCACATTGTTTGGCCTGCATCATAAACGTGATCTTATCTTGCAGTATTACGTAGATGGGGGTTTCACCAGCATGCAGCCTGTACTGTCTGGAACCTGCAGCCAAACCTTGACAGTTTCTCCATTCTCTGGAGACACTGATATCTGCCCCACAGAACCACTGTCCAGGTGGGAAATGGTAGTGAGTGGAGCCACCCTGAACATGAACATGGCCAACAGCTTCAGGGTCATCAATGCTCTTTACCCCATGGCTTTAAAGGTCAGACCCTTGTTGTATCTCACTGGATGCTAAACTCTAAATGTGCAGATCTCAGTCTGTCATTTTGATGAATCATTGTGAATGTACGGCATCTGTCTAACACACAAAGACTCTCTGAAAGACTATTTTGTAACATCTAATTCTGTTCCAGGAGCTGGAACAAGCCTACTACAGTGGCTACAAAGACGCCATTCATTTCCTTCTGCGTAATGGTGGGTAAAAATACAGGGGGAAATTACAGTTGTAAAGTCATTTATTTTTGTTACATACAGACTAAATCTGATCAACCTGTTTCATTTCTCTTTCATGTCTTTCCCCCTCGTGTGCAGATCTTGCCCCATATATAATGATACAGAAACTATCTCAAGGGCAGCTCAACTATAACCAAGGTAAAACGTGGACGCATGTGAACACCGCCATAGAGGAAGATGAGGAGATGAACGCAAAAAAGAAGAAGGCTACGCTGACATCTTTTATAGGCAACACACACATGCAGACGATGCTGACGGGCGACTCGAACGGAAATCAAGCAGTTCAAGAACCTCCTCTCCATTTTGACATGGTAAAGAATGGTATGGCCGGCACTCTCTCTCTCTCACACACACACACACACACACACACACACAGACAAACACACACACACACACACACACACACACAGAGTTAACTACATTAAGATGGACAGCTTTTGTTGTCATTAGAGACGTTCCAGTATGTCTTGTTACTTTCAGAACTGAGGCTGAACATTTAGATTTGTTACACTTACCCTCTGTAAAAAATCGCTTTTGTCAACATATGTGTTTCAGTTCTGCTGGGTAATGCCGTGACTTATGTGAGCATGTTCGGACTCCCTGCGAGAATCCTATCGTACCTACTCCTTCCTGTCATGCTGTGGTTTTACGTCGTACTCCAGAGCAGGCAGAGGTAACAAACACACTGAAAATATAGTACATAACACAGGCAAGACTGATACCATTCTCACACCTGCCTGGTATGTGTAAGGCTTAGCATAAAGAAACAGGCATATAACAATATAAGTCAGAGAGGCATCCACAATTATTCATCCACAGGTATTGTTTTGGTCATCGGTATGTTATGGTTAAAGCTATGGTTTGGCTATTCCTTTGTACAAAAAGACTGACATCAATTTAACAATTACAAATGTGCTGTAGTAGACTTTTTGAGTTTCAATGTGTCTTCTCTCTCTCCCTCAGAATAGAGCTGCTGTTCAGGCAGGCTCCAGAGCTGGTTTTCTGGACTTGGTGTAGCCTGAGATGTTATATCTTCTTCGTTTCCAACATATTTGTCTGTAGTCTTAAGAAAAACATGGCCGACAGGTAAGACAGCATAGCATCCTTAAACACATTATTATCCTTGAAATTGTGTTTCATTCTTTCAGAATTACTATTTATCTATTTTGCTACTAATTCTAACTAAGATCAGCTGTTTCATACTTATCTCAACCTGGCTGGACTCAGCTCGACTGGACTTGAATCATCTCTGTGTTTTAGGGTTATGCCCATCATCTTGTTCTTGCAGTGGCTGAAAATTACACTTCAAGAACAGAGTCACTCAACAGCTTGGAATAACTTTTCCTTTTCTGCCCATTCAGAAAATATCAAGCTTAGGAGTCTGCACAGACAGTCCATCGCTCCATCACAAGATTAAACCAAAATGACATTATGAGAAATCAACTAATTTTTTTTTTTTTTTTTTAGCTCAGCAAGCAGAAATGTAAACACTGTATTCTTAGTACATCAGGTTGCATGTTTTTTTGTGAAGTTAAGCCTTTTTGAGTCCTTATTATCAGTCTACCATACAAGTCTTGAATGTTGAGTTTTGTTTTATTTAAAGGCAACTTTATTTTACCTAAGCTGGTTAAAAAGTTTTTTCATACTTTTAAAATTGTATCTATGTATCAGGTAAGTGCAGACCTCCACTAATCCATAGCTGTTGTGGTAATTGGTTCTTCTCCAGTCAACATTTTACCGGATTTGTGTTACAATATTTACAGTATATGAAGCTAACCGAACATACTCCGAATGAGCAAGCAACAGGCATGAGGATAACTGATGTGGATGCTTACTCTGAAGTTTGGTGAAGGGTGGAAAGTCACGGGATAACCAAAATCAATTTCTTCCTTCAGCCCACATGAATATGCAGATATTGTGCGGTCACAATTACGCTTGTTTGGAATCTGAAAGCTTTGCTCTGATGAGGCACTGGGTAACGAGGTCTCAGAAACCAACGTTTCTCCCTCTGATGAGGGCAACCTTGGTGGAGGTATAACTGCTGACTTAGCTTATGTTGTAGGGTACTGTACTATACTTTTTTATATCTTATCTTAAGTTGCTCTTATAAAAAGTTTTTAATGCTGCTCTCTTTTCATGTTTTTTTAAGTTAATGTCACACAAATACTGTGCCCTGTGTATACTGTGTCTTTTGTTGTTTTTAAATGTGACCTGCACCCTGATCTATGGAGTACGGTATTTCGCTCATATGATGAAATGCATATTATGGTAGTGATGAATAAATCTGATTCTGATCCTGATTCTGAGATAGAATTATCAACATCGTTTAATATCTAAAATGCTAAGAACATTTTTTACAGTGAATTCTGTTTCCACTAAACAAAAACAGACTGCTGATGGAAGTGTGGATGTCAGTGGTTGATCAGCTGACTTGTGTGTAAAAAATCATGAATCCCACCATTTTTTTAAATGGAACATCCCAGACAAAAACACTTGGGGTTTGAGCCAAGCTCCGAGTTTAGCTGCAGGGCACTTATCTGGAAGGTTCTTAAGTTTATGTTCACATGAGAGGTGATAACTAGTCCTGTGATGTGCTATTT